GATGGTTTGGTTTCCGTTCTTCTTTGGCCTGGGTTGGGACCCATAAAACTGCGCTTGAGGGGTCTCTAAGAAGCTTTGTCCAAGCCCGAGTCCATCCGCACCAAGTAATGCAGGGAGGCGGCATGCCCCCAACAAAGCTTCACATTTTCCTTCGGACCGAAGCAACATAATGCAAGGTGCGCTGACGAACCGCTACGTTGGTAGTTCTACCACCTGGTTTCATGGGGGTAGGGCCGATATGGGCAACAACATTTACTGTCGTAAAGTGGATGACAGTGGAAATGCCATTGGGTATCTCAGCTGGAGGACAATAAGTACTACCTGTGGAGAGTGCCCCAAATGGAGAGTGCCCCTTTTCGTTTTATAGGTTTGATTCCCACAAAAACCCTAAGGGGACCTTCAAAACGGCACACCCATATGCCCCCTTTATGATCGATAGTTTACTCTGCGGCTTAGACGGGGGTTGTAGTAAGGCATATACAAGCCTTTACAATCGATGAGCCAACCGTCTCTGCGCTGTGGATCGTCTGAGTCCCTTGACGAAATCAGGCGCGGTTCAGATCCAGCTGGCTTGAGAAGTGCTCACGGAACCGACAAGATGGCCTCATGCTCGTGAGACACGCAATATGGACCAGTTCGGGTTTGTGTGCATGTGTTGATGGCATTGTTCTATTCTAAAGATTGTTGGAAAGGCAAAAGGCATGCCACCTCATTTGGAGAGGTTCCCTATCCAATTTGGTTGACAAACCCAGAGAACGCATTCTTGCCTGATCCTTTGGCGGCCAACTCCAAAGGGATTTGATGCCAAGGATTTTTCTGGCAGTGCCTCGTTGCGCGCGAAGCGCGCGGATTGCTGTGTCCAAAAGGATTTCCGGTGAACGAAGGCCCAGCTGTCCCATGACACTCTGTTCCCTTTCAAGTTGTTTTCAAGACTGTACCAAGTTGCATAACCTTTTGGACCGAGAGATGAAACGTAGGTAGTGTTTGCGTCCAAGGGCCAAGGTTTTAAACGGCAAGTCCCTAGCGTGCAGTTTGCGGCCTGGATTTGTGTTTGCATGTCAAAGCGAAGGGCGACGTCTCAAGCTGGCCGATCCCAGCACGCCGATAGCTGTCAAAACGTTGGTGACGCTCACCAAATTTTCATTGGGCATTTCAGCAGCACAATGATTATTAGCCGTAGCTGCCAATATGTCAAGAAGGGAAAATCCCGAAATGGTGGCTGTTCGTTTTCTAGGTTTTGGTTTCCCACAACCACCCAAGAGGGCCCTCCCAAACAACTCACCCATATGCCCCCTTTATGATCAATAGATTGCTCTACAGGCTTAGAAGGGGGTTGTAGTAAGGCATATAAAAGCCTTTACAATCGAAGAGCCAACCGTCTCTGCGCTGTGGATCGTCTGAGTCCCTTGACGAAATCAGGCGCGGTTCAGATCGAGCTGGCTTGAGAAGTGCTCACGGAATCGACAAGATGGCCTCATGCCCCTGAGCCACCCGAACTTCCCTGGTTTCTCTTGCGGCAGGATCGTTCCCCCTAGTCGAAACCACGAGCAGTGGTCACCAATTGCCGTATAGGATGGTAAACGGGCACAGGAGCCTCTAAATACTATTAGGAAATGGGGGTTGCTCACCAAACTACCATGTCATCGTGCGACGCACAATATGGACTGTGGTTCAATAAAAGGGTTGAACTCAAACATTTTTCCAGTCGAAATGTGAGACCATTCGAAGCGGGTGACCAGGAGCCCGGCGGAAGAAGAAGGGCCAAGTCTTAGGGGCTCAGGCTCAGGGTTTGTGCGCATGTGTTGATGGCATTGTTCTATTCTAAAGATTGTTGGAAAGGCAAAAGGCATGCCACCTCATTTGGAGAGGTTCCCTATCCAATTTGGTTGACAAACCCAGAGAGCGCATTCTTGCCTGATCCTTTGGCGGCCAACTCCAAAGGGATTTGATGCCAAGGATTTTTCTGGCAGTGCCTTGTTGCACGCGAAGCGCGCGGATTGCTGTGTCCAAAAGGATTTCCGGTGAACGAAGGCCCAGCTGTCCCATGACACTCTGTTCCCTTTCAAGTTGTTTTCAAGACTGTACCAAGTTGCATAACCTTTTGGACCGAGAGATGAAACGTAAGTAGTGTTTGCGTCCAAGGGCCAAGGTTTTAAACGGCAAGTCCCTAGCGTGCAGTTGCGGCCTGGGCATTTTTTCCATGTCAAAGCGAAGGGCGACATCTCAAGCTGGCCGATCCCAGCACGCCGATAGCTGTCAAAACGTTGGTGACGCTCACCAAATTTTCATTGGGCATTTCAGCAGCACAATGAGTATTAGCCGTAGCTGCCAATATGTCAAGAAGGGAAAATCCCGAAATGGTGGCTGTTCGTTTTCTAGGTTTTGGTTTCCCACAACCACCCAAGAGGGCCCTCCCAAACAACTCACCCATATGCCCCCTTTATGATCAATAGATTACTCTACAGGCTTAGAAGGGGGTTGTAGTAAGGCATATAAAAGCCTTTACAATCCGTCTGAGTCCCTTGACGAAATCAGGCGCGGTTCGGATCGAGCTGGCTTGAGAAGTGCTCACGGAATCGACAAGATGGCCTCATGCCCCTGAGCCACCCGAACTTCCCTGGTTTCTCTTGCGGCAGGATCGTTCCCCCTAGTCGAAACCACGAGCAGTGGTCACCAATTGCCGTATAGGATGGTAAACGGGCACAGGAGCCTCTAAATACTATTAGGAAATGGGGGTTGCTCACCAAACTACCATGTCATCGTGCGACGCACAATATGGACTGTGGTTCAATAAAAGGGTTGAACTCAAACATTTTTCCAGTCGAAATGTGAGACCATTCGAAGCGGGTGACCAGGAACCCGGCGGAAGAAGAAGGGCCAAGTCTTAGGGGCTCAGGCTCAGGGTTTGTGTGCATGTGTTGATGGCATTGTTCTATTCTAAAGATTGTTGGAAAGGCAAAAGGCATGCCACCTCATTTGGAGAGGTTCCCTATCCAATTTGGTTGACAAACCCAGAGAGCGCATTCTTGCCTGATCCTTTGGCGGCCAACTCTAAAGTGGGGGATTCGATGCCAAGGATTTTTCTGGCAGTGCCATGTTGCACGAAGGCCAAGCTGTCCCGTGACACCTGTTGACTCTTTTTTACTGGAATGTGCGCGTGTCCGCGGAAGACCTGAGTGGTGTCCCTCATGGACCTGAAAAGGGGTTGCATGGTGTGAGTGTCCAAGGAGTCATGAGGAATTTGCTTATCGAAATTCACAGCCTGGAGAGGGCCAAGATGCTTGATTGGTTTGCTGCGAGCACCTCCCATCCCGAATTCTTTAAAAGGTACTTCGCAGATTGTGAGAAGGTCTTGGGACTGAATCCGATCTCATGCTGACGATTGTGTCCAAACGAGAGTGATCCCTGGGGTTCGATCGACCATGAGAAAAATGTGGGACTAATAAAACCACCATTGTTTGCCTGCGGAGCTTCATCATGTGAATTGGGTCCTTGAAGGTCCTTGCCAGGATTTTTTAAGTTTGGTTGATTTCTAGGGTGCCTGTTTTGGGGACGGCTTTGAACACGCACCTACAATCCAAGTATTTGGAAGTCAGCGTTGGCCGTTTTTTGCCACGAGCCAACTCTTCTGTCAGCATGGCTTACCTTTAGACTTGCCTTCGTCGTTCATTTGGAACGGCTTGGCATTTGTCAACTTGAGCTTCTTTGCCGGCTTTGTGTTTTCCCCATTTGTCAAAAGACTTTGGTCTCGCGCTCAAATGATGAGCTTCCGGAAGAACGAAACGGGGGGAATCCAATAATTCAAAACTCCACTGCTTCAGCTTCTGCAAAAGTTGACAAATTCAGCAAGGCATTGACCGCTTTTCTTTCGCTTTCACGCAGGCTGGGGCCTGGAAAAAGAGCCCCAGCTTGAATCCTATGGGACGTGTCAACCACTGTGATACCAACGCGGCCCGGAAAATAGGCTGTTCTGGTTCTTGCACATAGCATGGTTTTCGCATTCGCAGCCTGGCTTGTGGACACTGTGTCTTCGATTACAGGTTCTTGAAGGTTAATTACGTGTTTTGCAAAGCTTAAGCACGGTTCTTTCTGCAGGTTCAGAAATACGCAACCTGCTTTTTGGATCCAAAGCAGTTTTGAAGGCAATTTGGCCGGAAACCAGGTTTTCGAAACATATCCTTCTTTGTTGGTTTTTGATGTAATATATAAGGGTAAGTCATTTGAAAGGCCTTCCATTGCTATCACACAAGTGGTTGTAGTTCCCAAAACTATTTCTGAGATGAAGCAGCTTGTGAATTCCGGCTGGACTTGAGTCATCTGTAGGCTACGCATAGAGTAGGCTTCCGCCGCCTGAGCAAGCGGCGATATGTCCGAGGTGAAAAGGACGCGGCGCGATGCTCGCGGTTCATGTGTTGCTTGCGTCTCTTTCCGTTTATAAACCTTTCCTTCTCCTTGGTTCGAATTAGGCATGCCGCCATGATGCTTAGAGCTACGTGCAATACTTCAGAGCTATTTCTGGCTGTCTCTTGCCTTTGCGTACTGTAAGCTGCAAACATCCTGGGAGGCTTCCGGAGACCCAATCGCCCGCCTTTTTTTGGTAGATCATTGCTCCGGTGGGATGTTTAACGTGTTAGGGCGTAAAACTTGGCTGGACTCCAGCCAAGTTTTACGCCTTAACACGTTACACCACTGGACCGGGAAACCATTCGCCATCCGCCCCAATACTTGGGCTTCTCCGTAGGGGGAGGGCTGCTTCCTTTTCGGTCGAATCAGGGGACAAGGGTTGACGCAAGAACAGGGGCTCAATTACTAGTCTGATCATGACTAAATCTGGTGTCACAACCCCATTCTAATCATGCAGACCGTTATATCGTGATACAGTTGGTATGTTGACCTTGTCCCCGTTGTGATAGATGGCATAATTCCCCATGTTTTTTTGGTTACCCTTGAAAGCTCCAAAACGTAGACCACGTCCAGAGCCACACCCATTGGGGATGGCCATGGAGCCCTCGATGGATTTGCGCCGTGAGGCTCCGGGACATCGAGCGGGAGATTCTGCCGCTCGCCCAGCTCACGCGGCTGCGGGAGCGCTTGCGCCTGCCGGGCATCCCAAGACCCGAGACCGGAAAACAACGAGCCAAGCTTTGAGCCTACTCGGTAGGCCTTCTGAACACTTCAGGAGGGTGTGCATCCCTGAAAGAAAATCAGATGCGACTTCTTTCGACCACGTCTTGGAGACAGTTGGAGCCCTTTTTTTTGGGCGCGTGGTTTGCTCGAGAACGACTCGCTCCGTGAGGCTGTCGCTGTTCAAGACGCTGGACGAGCGCCTGGCGGACGCCATGCAGCAGCTGTGCCTGGTGCAGAGCGCCTGCACCGAGGTGCGCCAGGCCTCCGTGCTGAGGACGGGGCTGCGGCGGCTCCGCTCCGGGACGGGCGTCGAGACCATCGAAGCGCGCAGGGGAAGTGGAGACATGGGGGGGGAGGAGTGGAAGATGAGTGCGGGCTGCCTTGCTGGACTTTCACTCTTTCAGGTTTTTGATTAAGAGATGGCCATGCTTGACTTGTTGAGTTGAAGGTCTATTTGCTCTCAGGGCTAGCCTGCTCAGAGGCTTTGGGTTCAGGGTCGGAGGCGACCTCGCCACAACCGCGAATGTGGCGAGTTGTTTCAGCACCCGGTGGAGCGCATATCAGAATCGCAGCTGATCTTGTGTTGACCGCCATTCCAATGGTATTTGCCCAGGAGGGCGTGGATTGGTTATGCTAAACGGCTGCTTTGGATCTGGGAAGTGGTGGTTGTTTCCGTGGTTCACAGAATTTGTTGATCAAAGAGCAGTCGAGTGCACTATCACCCGATCATGTCAAGAAGCGCGAGCTTCCAGCAAATGCAACCGCAGCGTGTTGGGTAATTGACAGGCGTAGCTTGGCTTTTGGACCGTTGATTCCTACTTTGTCAGGCCAAGGGTTTTCCGGGCTTTCCGGCGTTTTGGGCTGGCGATCATGTCATCCAGTCTGCAAAGGCCGCATGGAGTGCGACTGGTTCAGTCCGTTTTTTGCATCCCAGGCGAGTTGCTCAGAGAATTGGCAAATGCGATTCGCATTGGAACCGAGTAGTAGAAACCGCGAAGATATGTTGAGAGCTCAGGCCCCGAACAGAGCTTCCCCAAGGTCTTGGATTGAAAGCTTGCCCTGGCGGAACTCCAAGAATCGTTTGACCCACTCTTGCATCGCTTTCCTTGTACGGACTGTACGGACATGCTACAAGTGCAAAAAAACAAAAGGTGCACACACGGCAAACGGAGCAAAGCATGCGGCAGTTAGACCTTGGGCTCCTTTGAACCAGATCGGCTACCTTCACGTCCCGAATTCTTTGGATGGGACGCAGTCCTCCTTTTGGAGGAGCTTGCTGCAGATTATCGTCGTGCTCTTCAATTACATCAACTACGGCCCGGCGCTCAGCTGGGTAGAGACTCACCGGGGCGTTGGGAATCCGAGTCTCGCGTGTTCGTTTGCACTTGTATCATTGGTTGTTTGAGCCCATGCAATTCGCAGCAAACATGCGTCAGGGGGTCATCAGCCCGTAGGATCCAGTTCGATAGTTGGCCCGATGTGATGGAAGTCAGGGCATGAGATATCCCCTTTTGCATCCAGCTCACTGCAAAGGGGCTTATTTGTTTCATTTGCCATTGAAAGAACTTGGACAGTAGCAAAAACATTAAACGAAAAAACAAGACAAACAATACAATCCAGCACGGATCTCAAAGGGCCCATTCAAACACATTGAAGGCTTCAACATGCTCCTCAGAATGCCTTGAGCAGAACACAGTCGACTTCCCTGAAATTGAGTTGTAAACCCAGATCCTAAACCTTGCGGATGAACAGAAGAGTGTGTAACCCCAAATGGGTTGCATCCAACCGGGTGTTGATCAAACCGGTTTTCCAGTGTACCTATCACCTAGAGTCGCCAGTCCCTCGCCAGTGTAGGTTCAATGAACCCGAGTGCCCTGACTTTCATCTAGAAGCAGCCCCGAAGTCAAGAGCGTCCTGTTCACAGGAGATTCCGAAGTTGGCATCACCAGTGCACCAGTGCTGCAATATGTCCAACCAAGCTTAAGTTATATACCCAAGCCCCAAGCCTAAAACATCTTGTTTGCCGGAGGTTTCCCTGGCCGGTGTGTCCTTGTGAAGGTTTGGGCTGAGGTCAGGGCCCGGAGTCCAACAAGGATCTGCGGAACGTGGACGTCCAGAGCCTGACGCACCTGGTGGAGACGCAGAGCTTCGGAGGGCCCTTCCCCAAGTTCAACATGCTCCACTTCTGCGGCTCGGGCATGACGGACGCCCGGTTTTGCGTGACGAGGGACGGACCCCCGGAAATAACGGAGAAAATGGGCCAAATCCATTTCGCACCTCAGATTGATGCACCCCCCCCAGAAATAGTGGGATAAACCACCTACCAGCTTGTGGATTTTGACAGGGTTCACTTGAAGGTCTAACAGCTCAAGAGCTTTCACGCGGAACAGGATTAGCAAGTCTTCAAGGGGTGTAATCAGTTTTTGTTTCAGAGGGGTTATAAATTCAGAGTACCAGTATGGAGGCAAGCTTCATCATCAGAGGAAGCTCCCTTTGAGGGAGCCCTCCTTTTCGAGTTCCATGCTCAGTTTGAGGCGAGCATGCCACATAAACCTCCTAAGCCTTGCGGTTATGATACTCTATACAATGGACCTTAGCTACGTCAAATTGGATGCATTGACCAATATGGTGCGATGAGACGCTTTCTAGTACGTATAGAAAGCGAATACATTCAAAGGATTCAACATTGGCGTTTTTAAAATCATGATTTTTGTTAAACTGACAAGGTTCAATGGAAAGCGCGCTGATTTCAGTGACTGCGTCGAACAAGTGGCAATTGCTTGCAAAGTGATGGACAGCGATTATCGCATCAAGGTTCGAGAAAGATCGAAGAAACTGTATCCTGTCTCAAGGTATAAACTTTTGACAAGCAATATTGCCGAGCCAAATGACGATGATCCAGATGGAACCGGTTTGGACTTGTGTCGAAAACGAAAAGAGTTCAAGTCCTTGGGGAAGCTCCAGGCTAGTAGTGCGTAGCTTTTGCTCGCTTTCAATTCAGGGCTACTATTAGAACCGTTTTGGACTTGTGTCGAAAACGAAAGGAGCTCAAGTCCTTGGGGAAGCTCCAGGCTAGTAGTGCGTAGCTTTTGCTCGCTTTCAATTCAGGGCTACTATTAGAATCGTTTTGGACTTGTGTCGAAAACGGAAAGAGTTCAAGTCCTTGGGGAAGCTCCAGGCTAGTAGTGGCTTTTGCTCGCTTTCAATTCAGGGCTACTATTAGAACCGTTTTGTCCTTGTGGAAAAGGAAAGTGGTTGGGAGATCGTTGTTTGTTTTGTAACTCCTTTTGGTGAGCAAATTGCGGCGCCACCCAAGTGCCGCAATGGATCCGAGCGGGGGGGTTCCAGCGTAACCCTGCCAGTTCACATCAAGTTTAGAGGGAACCGCCAAGAAAAAAAGGGGGTGGGGGGGTGGGAGAGATGTTTTGGTTCCGGGTGAATTGGGGTTACTCATCTCAGCTGCATCTGCTCAAGGTTTGCAGGAGCTGGTGAAGCAGTTCCCAGACCTCACACAAGCTCAGCTGGACGATGAGCTCAGCTCGTTGTCCGGGGCGTCCTATGTGAACCTTTCGTCCGTGCGCCTTGGAGCGTGCGGGTTGGCGGGGGGGGGGGGGGTGGAAGGGTTTGTCCTGGTTTCGAGTGGAGGTGCCTTGGGGGAGGGGGGGGGGGGGTACAGGAAGGGCAGTGCAGAGGGGCACAAAGCGGGCCATGTTTCAAACTGGCTGAGTTTGGTCTGTTGAGGCTTGGCGCTGGATGAATGTTGGCAATGTTGCAGAACATTCAGCACCCCCCTGACCGCTTCTTGCTTCCCGCAGCTTAAAAGCTGAGTTCAGTTGCAGCAATTGTAACGTACCATACAAGAGATCTGGAGGCGCGGGGGGAGGCTTGAAAGGGCGGCCGTCAGCAGGCGAGTCTTCTTCCTTCCTAAGACGAAAATAGTTGGAAGCCAGTCATGTGCCTTGGGCAATCTTAGAGAGAGAGAGAGAGAGAGAGAAAAAGAAAGAAAGAAAGAAAGAAAGAAAAAAACAACATGTTTCCTGGTGGCGGCTTTTAGTGCCCCAAGCCATCGGTTGGAGATAATGCGTATGTTAGCTGGTCAACGACTACGTGCAGCTGGATGTTTGACCGGGATCTGGATCAGGTGTTTGCGCCTGTAGCACGTACCCAAGAAAGCCGTGACTGAAGTGGGGTGTTTGGGCTCTGAACTGTGGGCTCCACCCCAGAAAGGCGTCCGGTTGATCCAAATTCTCGAACCGACCAAAGTGACTGGTTTCTTCTTGGTGTCCCTTAAGAAGGCTCGGAAGAAGTCCCGAAAGTGGGCATGGTTTCCTCTTCTCCCAGTCAAAAATCCAACCTGAAGGGGGCACCCTGAAAAGAAGACGCCCAAACACCGTCTGGAAAGTCAGGAATCTAAGGACTTTGGCGCTGGAGCGCCTGAAGGAGGACTTGAAATTCGTGCAGACCGTGCCACGGCCGGAAGTTTTTGGCCACTGGATGTGGTCTTCCATTTTGGAGCTCACCTGAGGTAAAACGAGCAATTGCCATGATGCAGTTTGTTTGCTCGGGGATCACTTTTTCTCAGGTTTTGGATAAAACAAATTTCAGGGGATCAACCAAATTTGGGACAAACCTGGATCTGGCAGCTCTTTGGTCCTTTGCTTGCGGGTTCCCCTTTATGCTCAAATAAGAGGGTGCCGTCAGGCTTTTCACATATCCACAGGTTTCCCTGCGTGAAGCCTTTTAAGCTCTTTGAACAAGCTGAAGAAGGTTGGTTTCCCTGCTGAGGTCGGCTCGAACCGCGATTCCAGCTGCACGACCCAAACAGATATCCCTTGATTTATCCTGGTGAATCCTACCAAGTCGTGCAGTGCGGAGGCCAGGAGCCTCTCGTTCCATCAGTGATGAGTTGATTGGTAGGTTGGTTCCCCGCCACTGTCATTCACTTTGTTTTTTCTTGTTTTTTTTCCGCCACATTTGTTCAGAAAGTCCTTAGAAGGTATCATCGGGTGGATCGTTCTGCCTCTTTGTTTGAAACTTGAGACGTTCAGAAGGCAAGCACCGCATAGCCAGGATCAGCATCTTACCGAGTTCACAAAGCACCATTTACTGTGGCCATGTAGCCTTATCACGCAAATGGATGCCCGCTGCTTAGTGGCCACCCTTTTTCCCATCCTTCTCCGCGTGCTGCAGTTGCTTCCCCACTTCAACACATGATGACTCCCCATTCGCGCAGAGGCCATGTTCCTTTTTCTCGTGGCCAGTGCAATATGGGAACCAGATGCCAGCTGCCAGCTGCCAGCCTTTTGGGGTCGCACATCCAATTTGCAATGCTTCAAGTTGGGCAGGTTGACTTGCGCATCAGAGCAGATTGCTGCCCACCAATCGGGAATTCCATACCCCTTGATTTGCTTTGGGACGGATCCCGGATCCGGAGCCGGCCCTGTCATTTGCTGAATATGTGCTATGTTCCCCTGTGGTTTTAAAGGGAATCTATCACTACTGGACATATTTTCTCATTTTTCCGGACGTATTTGCCAGTGGGGTCGAAGCTTTGACTGATCGATCCAAGGAGCTCTATGGCCACCGGCAAGAGTACCAGAAGAAGGCACGTCGCCTGCAGTTGACGGGTCTTGGTCTCGGCGGTTGCGCCGGCCGCATTTTGCGGTGTTCATGGCGTGCCCCCTAGTGGGAGAACTGTTTTGCCTTGTGGGGGACTGTGGGAATTTCCTGTTGAACGTCAGTTGGCAAGCCATTATGGCCTTATGGTTGACACAGTGCTGCTCATGCGGGCGCCAACGCGGCAGTTGAATCGGCTGGGGAGAAGGCAATGCGGGTTTTTGGGTGATTAGTTGATCTGTTTTGCTTTAGAGGAGCCTCCAGCCTTTTGATCGCATTTTGACCAACCTGGGTACCATCATTTCCCATCCCGCCGTGGTGGGTTCAAAAAGCAACACCCAGTAGCTACAAAGGCAGTTCAACCTGTGGTTCTAGCCTTCGGGCCAAAAATGGTTAATGTTGCATCCAGTCCAAGCGCCACCTTCCTTCGTCCTTTTGCCGGGTTCTGGTTTCCCTCCCATCGACAAACATGGAACCTTACAGGGGCGGTCCTGGAAGTGCCCATGTTCCTTTGAACGGGACCTGGTGGTTGGTGGGTTCCATGGGCACCAGCAACTCCCCCAAGCGCCCAGCCCAACTGCTCCACCCCTTCTGCGAAGCGGCGGGGCTTTCGAGGACCCGGAGGAGGCGCCCTCTGAGCGAAGCTCCATGGGTCCGGTGAACTTCGACCTCGAGGAGAATGACACCGCCTCCGAGGAGTGGAGTGCGAGAGAAGCGAGAGGGCGAGAGGCGAGAGGGAGGTGCTTGCAGAGATTCGAATATATAGGTCTGTCTCAAGTATGGTGAACCCCTTTCTTGGTTGGTGTTTGAAGGGAAGCCAAAACGAAGCCGACCGTTATAGAGGACCCCTGTTTTGAGAAGCACCCATATGTGTTTTACCTGAGGTTGAGAGTTGGGAGTTTGGTGCTTCACGCTTCGGAGAGATTCAGACAAAATCTGGTGGACTTTCAGGTCAATGATTTGCTTGCGGTGGGTAATGTTTAGGCATGATCATAAGGAGTTCGAGAGGCGGCGGTTGCCGATTTCGTCGGCAGTCTGGAAGCTGCTTGAGGTGCATATCACATGCAACACATACAAAGCAGGGGGGTTTGTTCCCGGTTGGTGTTTGCTTTGTGTTCTTCCTGTTTGCCGTTAAGCATCACTTGGACCAGGTCGGCCTCTTTTTCGCGGTCGGTTTCGCCCAAGCGAAAGGAAGAGCTGGTCCAAGAGAGCTCCGAAGACACCTTGGCGAATCTGAGCCCTCGGAAGTCTGTGATCGGGCGATTGGTTTGCATGGGCATCGACACCTGGAGCTCTTCGGCCGAATCAAGTTCGTGGTTGAACGTGAGTTCAACGCTTGTTTGGTTTGGGGAGTTTCAGGTTTGGGTTCGGGACAAGCCGGAAAGCGAACAATGGAAGACACATGTAGCATGATGTACAGATCAGAATAATATGAAAGATGTTCTGATAGGGGCTGAACTGAAGTCATGTCGAGCTCACGGCTCCTTGAGTTCCAAAAGAAATGCGATTCCCCCCAAAGTCATCAAATGGCCCAGGAAGGGTGAGGGGAATCCTTTCCGACTTGAATGGACAAATGGTATGGGCATGCGATCTTTGGAGGGTTCCCCTTTCTGCTTCATTTAAAGGGAATCCAACATGAAAGCACATTTTGGAAGTCTCCCTATTTTTGACACATACTCATATGTTTGTTCTATCCTGTGATTTGTTTGCACCAGAGTCTACAAAGCACATGGGCTCAGGCCTCAAAGCATGCCTGGGCTCTGGCACCATAGAGGGGTCTGTTGGATCATCATCCTAGCCGACTTGAACCATTCTGACTTCAACCATGCTTGTCCATGGTTTGCGGTGAACCTACACTAGCTCGCTGTCTAGGGGTTCACTTTGCTGTGGTTCCTTGCACAGTAGTGGCAGACATCCCGGGTCTTCTGTGAGACTTACCCCTCGCAGCTTGCGAAGCAGAGTTCCAATCTCGGAACGCATGTGGCGAAGCGCAACCTGCCTGTTGCCTCTGGGCGCGAGCACTGACCCTCAGGTTTTTGCGGCTAGAGCAGATAAGCTACGTTTCCCTGACTGATGCTGACTGGCTCTTACGACCATGTTGCACGTCAGATTGCAGCTGAACGCACGCCTATGGCGTGCCCAAAGTTTTAGACATTTGTCTTATGGACCAACCAGAAGCTTCACACAAACACAGTGTTCTTCGTTACCTGTGTGGAAGGGCCAACAAGGTTCATCGCCAAAGCAGAAGCGCACAACATGTCTTTCCCCCGCAAGCAACACAACTGACTCATTTAGGTATATTTGTCCTCCGCCTGTGTTCCTGACTTCTCCAAATAACGGTTTGCGCATGTTCGGGGAGCTCGGAAGGGATCGAACAAGACTCAACTGCTTCCCAGCGCTGTCGCGGGTTCCCTTCTTTGCAGTTCGGGAGAGGAAAATTCTGCCCAGAGGATGTGGAGGGAAAGCGGCTCTTGCCGCGTCTCGCACTGATCTGGATCGATCGCACACGCTTAGTAGCTGCGTCTTGGACTGATCTGAGGCTTTGCAGAGGACTGGTGTCAAGGCAGCGCCATTGTGGGTGTCAACGAAGAAGCAGGTGGGTTCAGCCACGTTTTTCTGCCCTGGGCAGAAATCTCGAGGGTTCTTTCGAAATTTCCAAGTTGATCGCGTCAATGCAGCAAACTGTGGAGCATCGTTTGGAGTTGGATCCCCGTTTTTAGTTCTTAGTTTGTTTGAGATCTTTTAGTTGGTGGTTTGGTTTGGTGGTTTGGGGATTTGAACCCCTGGTTCTTGTAGAGGGCCAGTGGGACCCCCCCTGAACCACCAAATCACCAATCCAAACCACCAATAGACCCACTTTGTGAGTTCATGAACTTTGAACTTTTTGGGAAGACCATTTTAGTGGCAAATACAAAGTTTGGACTTTTTTGGGGCCATCCACTCAGCAAGTAAGTAGAGGGAAGTTGAATTTCTTGAATATCTGTTGCTTTAGATGTGTTCTTCGCTTATGACCGATGTGGGTGTGTCTTAAGATGCACCCCCTCAAATGGTAAATATCTTGGCTTCCCATACGAAAGCAACTCAAAGCACCTCGAAGAAAGAAATAAACCGCACCCGAATAGAGAGAATGTTGCCCGACACATGCCCTACGCATGGTTTCAGTTTTGCTATTCGCTTAGAATACAGTGTTCGGGGGGGAACTCTCCATATGCCGCGGAGGCACCGCATAGGCAGTGCTGGCGGGGCAAACGATTGCGTATGCAGTCCGCGTAGTTAAAGAAAATCCAGCCTAGGCAGGTTCGCGTAGGCATGCTTTGCCTCTTACACACTTTACGAGCAGCCTAAGCTGGTTTCGCGCCCCAGAAAAGGCTGCGTAGGCCTTCCATGATTTTACACACACACACACACACACGGAGGCTCCGCGCTTGCATGGCCAGTGCTTGGGGACGATACACCCAAACAAAAACTCAACTCCGTTGGCATCCCTTCAAACAGCATCCAAAAGGGTGGTTGGTTTTTGGACAACCACATATCCCTTGGTTATTTTTGGCTTGGGTTGTGACCAGAGTGGGTGTTGTGCAATGGATTTTGTAGACTCCCAAACAGGCTTCAATTTCCCTTTGCCTGCCTCAAACATTGGTTAGTGGGCAGGCACTTACCATACTGTGGATGGACGAAATCCTGCACCACCTGATAAACATTGGAATGATGATTGCCCTGCAAATACCAGCCTATAATGGTTTCCCATGGTTTCAAAGTGGTGCAGTAGCTCACCATGTAAGTGATGTTCACCTCAGAGCTTCTGTTTCTCAAACATGCATTGTATTTTGCTGTCTGCGGAGAGGCGGTATGACATTGTTGGTGTGATTTTGGAGTGTCCTCGTTGCAGTTAATGTTGTGTTTGTTTCAGCAAGCTACTTTTTTCTGATTTATTTTGAAGTGAAACTACGGAAAGCACAATTTTGCGGGTCCTCTAGTTGTACCCTTTTGCTCGTTTCTCAAAATGGTGGACCCCCTTTTGGTTGGACGTTCAAGGGACACCAGCCTGGCACCATAGCAGACATCAACCATGGTGGGTGCGGTCCATGATTGAGCCACACCCATGTTTTTGTTTTTGCCCGGCTGCAAAAAGAGGGATAAAGGATTACCCTCAACCATGACACCTTGGGTTGTTGAACCAAAAAGCCTTGGGTTGCCATTCTGTTTTATCCTTTAAATAAAATCCAATGCAGGTTACCCTCAGACAGAGAATGACACCCAGCTTCGCCCAAGGGTGTATCCCACAACCGCAGGCCACCTCCAGGCGGCTCTGGCGGCAGATGGGGAGGTGCCCCCCCCTGGGGTGATGTGGCGCTGGCGGCCCTCAGGCGGCGGCCTTTGCTCGTTTGAGTTTGGATTTTGGTTGGTTTTGGGGAATCCACCCGGCCTTTTTGCAGTTGGTTGATCCGTCACCTGTTGCCTACGGCTTTTGCGTGAATTTCCGATGCTTGAGGGGGAATTGTCAGCAGCCAGCCCTCGAAGAGTGTTGAAATATGGCTGTGGCTCAAAAAACCGGTACCAAAATGGAACCCTGGTAAGTGGAAAAATTGACCAAAACCTGCGTAACCCCTCCTGCTTAATTTTGAGCCACAGCCATATGTTCCTCCCCGAGCGAAGCCAGATTCCAACGAAGAAAATCCCTGGGCGGTTCTTGGAGAAAGGTTCGAGCTTGAAAGAAGGCAATAGCAGAGCAGAAACTGAGCTTCTTTGGTCCCTGAACGTGTGCTTTGTGTACCCCAGCGCTGCAAGCGCAAAGCCTCCTGTGTTCGCAAGGGACGCAGGAATTTGCATTGCTTATGCAGCACAGGTGCTTGGGGTCTTTGGTTCCTTTGAATCGCATGGGTGAAGGGAACCAACCCCCAAATGGAACCGAAGTGCATCCTGCCCTGAAAGTGACACTTCTGGTTTCCAGATTGCCAGAGCGGTGGTTTGCGGAGGATTCTTTCCTGCGGGAGGTTTCCTGTCGACTGGACCATTTCAGCTGAACCAACTGCTGTTGATTGGAATCTGTCTTGCATTTCCGGGCACCGAGGCTTGAACGTGTTCCTTGGTCGAATGAAGTCTTGGCAAATGGTCGAATGAGGCTTTTCCAAAATGCCGACAAGTCTCAAAGGGGCATGAGGATCCAATCAGTGGGACCCTCGCATGAGGCTATGACCATGCGTGTATACAAGAACCTGCGTTTCATATTTCTCTTTGGTCTTTCCGAGCGAGCCGTGGGATCCTCGGTAACTCGCCGAGCTGCGAGCAGGGCGATGGAAGCCCTACTTCTGCGAAGTCCGGGGGGCCTTGCTGGTGCTCTACAGGCGCCCATGAACTTCGGGAGCCGGGCATGTCACGCGCGATGACGGACATAGCGAGTGATGTT